GAGGCTGCGGTGGCCGTGAGCGGCCCACTGCACTCTAGTCTGGGCGACAGAGTGAGACTCCAACTCAAAAAAAAAAGACTACATATAACTATGCGCCCTTAAAGAGTAAGTCAAATAGACAAATTCAAGCATGCCACAACCTGCCCGAACTGCAGTGTCTGCAGGTGGCAGCCCTCCCTCCACCGTCCCGTGTCCCCCCCCCCCGTTGTCCCCATCTCGAGGCGCTGTGATGAAGCCAAGGGGGAGGAGCTCTGCAGTTTGCGACAGTTGGACGGCCAAGAGTTCATACCTGAGATTAAGAACTTCCAGGTGTTTGAGCTGATCAGCAATTCGAGTCACTTCATCCCAGGATGACAACAGGTTTCTTGACAAATCTATCTCTCTAATATCTAAAAGGCCTGGTTAAGAAACAGTAATTTCAAAAGATCATAAAAGTAGTTACTCTAGCTGGGTGTGGTGGCTTACACCTGTAATCCTAACACCTTGGGAGGCTGAGGTGGGGGACTGCTTGAGGCCAGAAGTGTGAGATCAGCATGGGCAACACAGCAAGACCTCATCTCCACAAAAAATGAAAAACTAGCCAGGCATGGTGGCACATGCTTGTAGTCCAAGTTACTCTGAGACTGAGGCAGAAGGATCTCCTGAGCCCAGGAGGTCAAGGCTGTGGTGAGCTGTGACTGTGCCACTGCACTCCAGCCTGGGTGACAAACTGAGATTCAAACTAAAAATAAATTTTAAAAAGTAGTTACTTTTACTTCTGGGGCACGAGGTCTTTAACTTTTCATTTTACACCCTCTATTCTACTTGAAATGTTTTCAGAAGTACCTAATACTTTTATCTTTTAAATTATCCCACTGTTTGTTCAGAAACTAAAAAGTTCATTGTCATAGAAGTTCATTGTCTCAGAACTTCAGATAAACATCTACAATTAAATGAATACATGCAAAATGCCATAACACTAAACTATTCTGGCATTATCCACCAAAAATGAAGAGAGGGGAAAAAAGTGAGAGCAACTGATATGTTAAGCGCCCCAGGGGGACCCACAGGCCTTGGCCTCCACTGCTCGCCAGCCACAAGCCAGCCTCACACCAAGCACATTGCCTGTGGTGCACCTTTACCAGGCCCTGTAGGAATCCCCAAATAAATAGCCTCATCTGCAGGGGAGAGAATAGGGGTGAGCTTGAGAAATAGTCAAAGGTGCTAAGAATGTTCAGGCATGGTGGCTCGTACCTGTAATTCCAGCACTGTGGAAGGCTGAGATGGGAGGATCACTTAAGGCCAGGAGTTCAAGATCAGCCCAGGCAACACAGCAAGATCTCATCTCAATTTAAAAAAAATAATAAAAATAAATAACTTTTTATTTTTTTTGAGTTGGAGTCTTACTCTGTCCCCCAGACTGGAGTGCAGTGACCACTCCTGGCCACCGCAGCCTCGCCCTGCTGGGCTCCGGCGATCCTTCCGCCTCAGCCTTCCAAGTAGCCGGAACTACAGGCGCGCGCTACCACGCCCAGCTAATTTTTTGATTTATCGTGGAGATGAGGTCTTGCCAAGTTGCCCGGGAGGGTCTTGAACCCACGGGCCCAGGCAATCCACTCACCTCGGCCTCCAAAATGCTGGGATTACAGGCTGAGTCACCAAGCCCGGTCAATAAATAAATTTTTTAAAGTGCTAAGAATAACTTGGGAATTCAGAGGGTTTCTCATAGCCTGAAAGCAGTTAGTATGACACTCACTGCCCTGGTACAAGATTCAGAGAAGGGTCAGCCAGTAGGACTAGAAAAGCAAGGCACCTGAGCTGACGGGTAAGTGTGACTGCTAGCCAGGGGCGAGATATAGGGTGGTGCCATCAGAAAGGGACACCGCTGAGCAAAGCCCCTATGGAGAGAGACAGAAGAGAAGCTTAGTGCAGGACTGGAGCAGCTGAAGGAGCACCTTACACTCTAATCTATGTCTGGAAATTATCCAAATCACTCATCTATTCCACAAGTGATTTTTTTGAGTTGGGCTCTCACTCTGTCACCCAGGCTGGAAGGCAGTGGCAGGATCACAGCTCATCACAGCCCTAACTCCTAGGCTCAGGCGATCCTCTGGCATCAGCTTTCCAAGGAGCTGGGACTACAGGCACGAGCCACCACACCTGGCTACTTTACTTGCTTTTCGTAAACCCAGGGTCTTGCCATGTTACCCAGGCTGGCCTCCAGCTCCTGGCCTCAGCTTCCCAAAGTGTTGGGATTTCAGGTGTGAGTTACCACGCCCAGCCCCGCAAGTAATGGCTGAGGGCCAAGAGTGTCCACAGTGAGCAAAGCAAAGCTCCTGGGAGGCGACCACTAAGCAAGAGCCTCTGAAGTGGGCCAGAGACAGGCCTGTGCTCAGGATGGCAGAGCAGGGCATGCGGGAAAGGGGTGTGTGCGTGTCTCCTAGACAGCGTTCAGAGAAGACCGTCTCCTCTAACAAGATGACATCTGAGCAGAGAACCGAAGGAGTGAGGAAATGCCACCTGGGAGGACACCCCGGGCAGAGGACTGACAAGAGCAAAGAGCCCGGGGTTAGAATGGGCTCCGCCTGTGACCAGGACCGCCAGCCCCGGAGTGCCTGGAGCAGATGGCGTTGGGTGCTGGAAACAAGGTCACCAGGGCTGCAGGGCCAACCCGGACCACCAAGGGCCTGGCAGGCCACTTCAGAGTCTCTGCCAGTCTCTGCCTGAAACGGGAGCTACTGGAAGGTTTGGAGCAGAGATGGGATCTGACCTTCAAAAGTCAGGTCCTTCAAAAGTCGCTCTGCTGCTAGATAGAGCCCAGACTACAGGGTAACAAACAAGGGCAAGAAGTCTAGTCAGAAGGCTTGGATGGCAGGCGGCACCAAGGCGATGGGAGATGTAGGACTGGCATCGGGGTCTGGGAGCAGAGCTCTCAGGACTCGCCGGGCTTTAGGTGCAATAATCCCAGACCTGTCACTTGTGAGAGGGGGAAGACTGCAGGGTGGCGCAGGCTTGAGGGGGCCTCGGTTTTGGTCGTGCTAAATCTGCCTGGATGTCTAATGAGATGACCAGACATCCAGTCAGAGATATCAAGCAAGCAGCTGGAGAGACAGGTGTGGAAGGGCAGGAGGTGCGTAGGTGTGCCAGCCACGCCCACTGGGTCTCCCTCAGCATCCAGGGGGCAAAGGTCTGAGCCTCGGGTCAGCCCCGACACTCTGCATGCAGAGAAGGGTCCGCAAAAGAGACCAAGGAGGGGGGGCCTGAGAGAGATGAGCACCAGGGCCCAACAAAAACAGCAACAACCGCCACCCCCACCCCCACCCCCAGTGCTCCTGCCACTAACCGGGTCCCAGCAGTCCTGTGGGCTGGTGTATCGTCGTTCTTTTTCACGCAGAGAAAACTGAGGCACAGAGCAGTCCGATAACAGTGTAACTCTGTACAAACCAACAAGTGTGAATTTAAACCTGAGTCCACCTCAATTCAAAATCCATCTTGTTATACCCCAGAATGCAAAGGGGAGTCATTAAACAGATGAAACATGGAGAAAGTTTCTCTACAAAAACCGTGGCATTACTCCAGAGGGCTGGCTGGAAAGGAAGCAGTTTGGGCAGGAACCAGTCAGCAAGCGTGGCCAGTAGGTCAGGAACAAGGGAAGGCAGGCAGCACCCGCGTGGAGAAAGGGCGCCCCAAGTCCAGCAGCCAACTTCGCCCGTGCCCGGAGCCAGCCAGGGCCAAGCGTACTCGCCGAGAGCTGTAAATGGTTCTCACATTTGTGAATGGTTACATTTCACACCATAATCTAAGCACCTACATGATGACCTCGATTCTGCCTACCAGTCTACAGGCCTGAAGTATTCACTAACTGGCCCTTTAAGGAAAAGCCCAAGGACTCCCACCCTAGAGAAGACTCTAGAAGAACACGGGGCGCAAGTGGTGTATAGACAATAAAGCGAATACCGGGACAGAACTAGCAGCCCCCAGGAACCGAGGTGCAGAGAGCAGGATGCGACAGAGCTCACAGGTCCTACAGCCCGCAGGGAGAAACAGCAAGGGGAAGCTGGGCTTCTGGCTCCAAGCCTGAGCCTCTGCCAGGAGAATAATGACCACCATGGACGTCCTGTCGAACAGAAGGGAAGAGAGCTCCACGTGCAGGCTGCCTGGAAGGCAAGACACAGGCCGCCTCCTCTCCCACGCAGGGGGCACAGCTGCCCCATCGCGTCCATACATGGCTGTGTTCCCCTGCTCTGCTGCCGCCGCCACTGCCCTCCTCCTCCGGGCTCCCCCTGGGCTTCCCTGGCTTCCTGATGGCCACCTAAGCAGATGGATGCACTGGGCGCCTTCTATGGCTCGGCCTGAAACCTTGGCCACACTTCATTTCCATAGCCCTGCTAGCTCTAGGTCACCAGGCGGGTGAGGAAGGGCTCAAGTCCCCCCACTTCCCATTATGCAGACTAGAGCTGTAAGCATCTCTGCTCACCCATGCAGAGCACACAGGCACCTGCATTCTGAAGTCAGTGCTGAACGATACGATGGCCATCAACGCAGAGCCCCCCACTTACATGCACACACACAGGTCAACGAGTTCCTCTGGCTGCACAGCTCTTGCTCCCAGGGACAGATTCTCCTCCTCAGCTGGGAGGCAGGAAGCGGCTGGCCCCTCCCCCTGGAGGTGCTCTCCGACTCGACACACTCCTGACTGGATGACCTCAAAGCGCCAACAACCCAGAGGCCATGACTGAATCAAACACCGAGGCAATATTTCAACTCCTGGCAGGAATTCAATCAGAAGCTGCAAGGCATTCATCACTGTCTCTGCAAATACCAAGCGTGACTCGATTATCTCATGGAACCTCGATTTTTCATGTCTTAGGGGACTTTGCCCCCCAGAAAAGTATGGTATAAACAAGCATCATGCTGATCCTTAGTACTGCTGACAACACCAACCAACTAAATCGCTGCCTATAAGGAAGATCCCAAACCACCCACCGACCAGAGCTTTTCTTATATGTTAAAAAGAAGCTTTGAACTGCCCAGCTACTGGCCTGACATAATTTAGGAGTAGACCAGGCAGAATACAGAAAGCTCCAGACACTTCTGTGGCAGTCTACTCCTTACCAAACTCTCTTCTTCATCCACTTCAAGTCCCCCAAACTCCAGCTGCCTAACCTATGGAAACGACCATGTACGCACCACACAGGTCAACGGAGGAGGCTGCTCACGGGCAGAGATGACCTGCTTGGATGCTGCAGCCGCTCCAGGCTCCAGCGGACCCCCACGGCTGTTCCCCCAGTGACTCGACGCCTCAAGCACGCAGGTTGGGGGAGCTCTACTCTAACCATGCACTGTCAGGGCAGTTTGCTAAAGAGCTACTTCATCTAGCATCTCTTTGCCCAGATAAAAACCCATCATAAACTGCTATATTTTGTACAAATTACTATGTAGAGACCATGTAAACTTAAAGAATTCAGAAAAGACCTCTTTTTTTTTGAGTTGGAATCTCACTCTGTCACCCAGACTGGAGCACAGTGGCCGTTCCTGGCCCCCACAGCTTCAACCTGCTGGGCTCCGGCGATCCTTCCGCCTCAGCCTTCCAAGTAGCCAGAACTACAGGCACACGCTCATGCCCAGCTAATTTTTGATTTATTGTAGAGACAAGGTCTTGCCAAGTTGCCCGGTAGGTCTCGAACCTGGGCTCAGGCAATTCATTCGCCTCAGCCTCCCAAAGTGCTGGGATTACAGGCTGAGCCACCACTGAGCCTAGCCCAGAAAAGACCTTTTAAAGTTAGAAAAAATCCATTTAATTTCTACTGGGAATTTTTTTTAAACTTATCTCCTACATTTTGGTCACGAGCATCAAAGCAATATATGGCAAAACAAACAAACAGAAAACACATTAGTAAGAGAAGGTAGAGAAAAAAGATCACAAACTTCACAAAGGTCTGTTTTGAGGTACTGTAACAAAACTGCATTTGGCTGCATGAAAAAAGCCAGAGTTTTTCTCAATCGTAAGAAGTTCTTGAGAAGGCTGACAAGCGCTAGGGCAGTGGCCCTGGATACCATCAAGGGCCTGGGCCGAGCTCCTTCTCCACTTCTCTGTGCTCCCAGTATGTACCAGACATCCTTCTCCACACTTACAAGACACCTGCGGAAGCCCTGGGAATTCCATCTGCACTCAGAGCAGATGCCAACCAAGTCATCCCCTTTGGGAGTCTCATCTAGAAACTTCCACTTTACATCTCATTGGCCAGGAAGAGGCACGTTGGCATGCCTGCAAGCAAAGGTGTCTGGGAAGGTAAATTGTTTATCTGGGCAGCAACTGCCCGAAGCCAAAGTGAGCTGCTATTGGGAATGAAAGCAGAGGGGAATGGACCCTGGGTAGGCAACTCGCGGTGTCTGGCACAAGTGTCAAATCCAAAGTCCGATCCCAGTTGCAGATTCTCATTGAAAAGGATACTTGGACATGCTTTGGTAATTTCTCCTTTTTCACCAGCGCAACTGACTGCACAGTTCCTCAGAGAAATTTCTTGCAACTTGCTCAGCTGACTGCATGAAAAACAGAGTTCACATGGACACATAAGCAGGTAGGCTATCCACTGGCCCTTTAAAAAATTAAACAGCATTTCAGACATATAAAAGGGTACCAAGAATAATATACAAATACCTGTACCTACTATCCAAATTAAGAAATAAAGCATTAGGAGGGAGGGAAGGAAGGAGGGAAAATAGATAAAGCATTATAAACACTCTAAGTGCGCCTGAAGCCCTCCGAGTCCCTCTCCAGAACACAACTCTCTCCCATCCCCATGGGTAACCTCAGACTACCTTTGGTGGTTCACCTAATCTCCGGCACTTTTTAATACCTTTCCCATATACTGCCATATCCTTAAACAATCACAGCACTTTTATATATTATTAAACATGATATAAATGTATTCTATTACACAGAACTTCCTACAACCTACTTTTTTCTCCAATAGTATATTGCTCAGCAGTGAGATTTAGTTATATTAGAACATTCATGTTCACACCTTATGGTTCTTTACTATCTGAACAGATCACGATTCATTTATTTACCCTCCTGTTGACATTTAGATTGTTCCCATTCATGCCGAAGTAAACACTCTGATACTTCTTGCTCTGACTGTCAACGTCTCTCTAGGGTGACATCCTAAGAGAGCATCACAGCATCACTTTTACTGGATACTCTCAGTAGCCATTTTTAAAGTACAGAGAATCTGTGTTTTCTATTCATTAAAAGAATCCACGGGCCAGGCTCGGTGACTCAGCCTGTAATCCCACGCTTTGGGAGGCCGAGGTGAGTGAATTGCCTGAGCCCGCAGGTTCGAGACCTGCCCGAGCAACTTGTCGAGACCTCGTCTCTACAATAAATCAAAAAAATTAGCCGGGTGTGGTGGTGCGTGCCTGTAGTTCCAGCTACTCAGAAGGCTGAGGCGGAAGGATCGCCAGAGCCCAGCAGGTCGGAGCTGCGGTGGCTGGGAGCATGCCACTGCACTCCAGTCTGGGTGACGGAGTGAGACTCCAACTCAAAGTTAAATAAAAGAATGCACAATTAGCTGGGCACAGTGGCTCACGCCTATAATCCCAGTACTTTGGGAGGCTGTGGCAAGAGGATTGCCTGAGCCCAGGGCTTTGAGACCAGCTTGGGCAACGAGCTTTACAATAGAAAAAAATTAGTTGGGCATGGTGGTGTGAGCCTGTAGTCCCAGCTACTTGGAAGGCTGAGGTGGAAGGATCGCCTGAGGCCAGCAGGTCAAGGCTGCAGTGGCCATGAGCACGCCTCGGCACTCCAGCCCGGGCAAAAGGGAGACTCTGACTCAAAGAAACACAGGATCCACATCCACATGTAAAATGTCTACGAACACCACCTGCATTCGAATCCCAATTCCACCACGACCTTTGGCTTTGGGCCAGCTAATCAACATCTCTGTGCCTCAACTTCGCACCCTTTTTTATTTTTTTTATTGTTTGAGTTGAAGTCTCACTCTGTCACTCAGACTGGAGTGCAGTGGCCGCTCCCGGCCACTGCAGCCTCGACCTGCTGGGCTCCGGCAATCCTTCCCCCTCAGCCATCCGAGTAGCTGGAACTACAGGCGCGCACTACCACGCCCGGCTCATTTTTGATTTGTTGTAGAGATGAGGTCTCGCTAAGTTGCCCAGGTGGGTCTCAAACCCGCGGGCTCAGGCCATCCACTCACCTCGGCCTCCCAAAGCGCTGGGATTACAGGCTGAGCCACCGAGCCCAGCCAACGTCGCACCTTTAAAATGCAGCGTTATACACACAAGATCACAGCAGTATTTTTCACTCGGAAACAACCCAAGTGTCCATCAGCAGATTACTGGATACACAAGTGGTGTGTACACACAATGGAATATTGTTCAACCTTTTTTTTTGAGTTAGAGTGTCACTCCATCGCCCAGGCTGGAGTGCAGTGACACACGCTCACAGCCACCCCAGAGTCGACCTGCTGAGCTCCAGTGATCCTTCCACCTCAGTCCTCCAAGCAGTCAGAACCACAGGCACATACTACCACGCTCGGCTAATTTTTTTGATTTATTGTAGAGATAAGGTCTCACCATGTTGCCCAGGCTAGTCTCGAACCCGTGGGCTTGGGCAATCCTCTTGCCTCAGTTTCCCAAAGTGCTGAGGTTACAAGCTTAAGCCACTGCACCCAGCCTTGTTCTACCTTTAAAATGGAAGAAAATTCTGACATATGCTACAACATGGATAAACCTTAAGGATGTTATACAAAGAGAAATAAGCCAGTCACAAAAAGACAGGCAGTGTTTGAGTACATTTATATGAGGTTCCCAAGATGGTCAAATTCACAGACACAGAAAGTAGAACGGTGGTTGCCCGGGGCTAAGGAGAGGGGCAATGAGAAGTTAGTGCTTCAGTGGTAGAGCGTTTCAGTTTGGGATGATAAAGTTCTGGAGATTGGTTGCACAATAAGGTGAACACAGTCAACACTACTGAACTATGCACTTACAAATTATTGTGACAGACTTTGTGCATATTTTACTAGAATTTTTTAATGCTACAATGATTTAGTGAGTTAATATTTTTGTAGCTTTCAGAACACTGCCTGGCATACTGTAATTCACTTTAGAAGTAAAATAAAAGTAAGCATAAAACTGACAACACTTGGGGAAATACCAAGATCAAAATGCAAGGCATGAGCGATTTCAATCACTAGAAACTGGGGCGGGGGGGAGCAGCAGAGTTCTAGGGCAGGGGGCTCCCAAGCTTCCTCAGTTCACAGGGCCCTCAATGTTTCGGTAATTTTTTTCACAGTGCCTAGGCCAAAATAAATATCACCCAGTTCCAATTAAGTACGTAATTGCGGCCAAACAATTACAGAAGTCATGATTACTTCTGTCCTATCAACTCAATGTCTGTTGGGCAATGCACAACTTCCTAAACCCTGGCATCAGATTGGACACCACCACCTCCATTTCCTGTTCCATGCTGATTTTCGGGAGATACTTGCTTTTAAAAAATGGTTTTTTCTGTTTTAAATTGATGCATGATAGATGTATATAAATACTTGCTTTTCATCACAGCAATCGCCCAAAGCCCTGCTTTGCAAATGAATGACATCACCGAAACTGTAGGATAAGCTAGTAGTTTCCATTGTGTCTGACAGATGTCGCTGCTTCCTTCAAAAATTTAAAATTTTCGGCCTTGCCAGAAAACTTGGCACAAAGCTTGGGGACCCAGTTCTCAACACAGGCATCACTGCAGAGTCAAAGCCATCTCCACAAGAAATTACACATAATGATTTTTTTTATTATTCCTTTATTGTATAAGTCTTTTCTTAGTGGTCCAAATTCAAAGCTGGTCAGCTGGATATGTTAAGACAAAGGCTTAAAGTAGAGGTTTCAATTCTTAACAATGACAGCTACCAGTAATTGCACTATCTCCCCTTTATTATTCACAACAGCACTAATAACTTAGGAGTTTTTGTGGAAATGAGGAAACTGAGAAATGATAAGTAACTATCTCTCACATGTGTCAGAGTCAGAAGTAGCCGGCATCTGAACCTGGCCTAACTCCAACATCAGGTGCACCACCCACCAAACTGCATTGCCATTCTTTTAAAAACATTTTTTAGAGGCAAGATCTTGATCTGCCATCTAGGCTGGAGTGCAGCGGTGCGATCACAGCTCACTGCAGCCTCAAACTCCTGGGTTCAAGTGATCCTCCTGCCTCAGCTTCCTGAGTAGCTGGGATTACAGATGTGAGCCACCATGCCTGACAATTTCTTAATTTACTAAATTGATCTCTAGCAAACATAAGAGACTACTTCAAAATCTCTACAATTTTACCTTTTGAATCAAGAAAGGCACTATTTTTTAATTAGCTAATTAGTAAATGCAATGATGCTCAAGTAGTAGGGTCACTCACTAGGGAAATTCATGAGTTACATGGTCGTTCAAAAGCTGGGAGAGGAAAATCTAACCCTATAAATATATAGTTCTTTAAATCGACGTGAATCAGGGCAAATAGCCAATATACATTAAATACTTGCTTTTTGGCGGGGCTTGGTGGCTCAGCCTGTAATCCCACGATGTGGGAGGCTGAGGTGAGTGGACTGCCTGAGCCCGCGGGTTCAAGACCCGCCTGGGCAGCTTGGCGAGACCTCATCTCTACAATATCAAAAATCAGTCGGACGTGGTAGCTCGTGCCTGTAATTCCAGTTACTTTGAAGGCTGAGGTGGAAGGATCACTGGAGCCCAGCAGGTCGAGGCTGCAGTGGCCGGAAGCGGCCAATGCACTCCAGTCTGGGCAACAGAGTGAGACTCCAACTCAAAAAAAAAAACAAACAAACTTGCTTTTCATCATAGCAATGGCCCAAAGTCCAGCTTTGCAGGCATATGACATCACCGAAAAGAACTTGCAGAAATCTCTTGAAATGGTAAACTACCTCAAAATGTTCTTGATAGTTATCTCTAAGTAGTGGCATTAGTCGTCACATTCTTGTGTTTAATTTGTATTTTGTAAATTCTCAAAAATAAATGTATATTGTTTTGTAATTAAAGAACAGTGAAGTTGTTACTTTTTTTAAAATAACGATTTATTCTGAGATTTTTAAAATGTGGGCCATCTATACTAACGAGTAGAGGTGCTAAAAAACATATTTATTCTTCAACATTGTCCTCCTGTGCACTTGAATTCTGTATTATGTTAGATCATAATAATAAAAGATGGCAAGGAAATTTACTTTGGACAGAATCACAGCTTAATTTTTTTCCATTAGAGACAAAGTAAAAAAGTGTAGGCCTATGCCAAATGGCCACCAGGGGTCACTACGCGGATGCCTCGTCCAGACAGCACATCTCAGCACTAAACATTACTAAAGCTGAGTGGCCTGGCAGGCTCTTGTGCAGTTTTGTATAAATATCAGCTTCTAGTCACTTTGATTCAAGCAGTTCATATGAACCAGAAGTGTGTTTCTCTGCACAGTCACAAAGCACAGAGAATTTCAGAGAAGAGAGAATGCTCTGGTGCAGCAGTTTTTAAATGTATTATGTAGTGTACCTCAGACTGTGGCACATATTAAAAGCAAATTCCTAGACCCTACACTGCAGAATTCTGACTCAGTAGGTCTTGGATGGGACCCACAATCCTGAATGTTTCAAAGCTCCCCAGGTGGTAAAGATATGCAACCAGAGGTGGGAACTACTAGATGGTACCAGCACTCACCATGGCACAGTTAATAAGTTAGACTTCTGCTTCCACTCCTAAGCTATCATCTAACCGCAAATGCCACCATGAAATAGAAAAGGACGAAAAATGTCAGCCTTCGTTACTTGATAATATGGTGTAAATAATGGGAAAATCAATCTTTTCATTGCAATTCAGAAAAATCCACCAATTTTAGCTGGGAGTAATGGCTCACGTGCGTATTCCCAGCCACTTGGGAAGCTGAGGCAGGAGGATCACTTTAGTCCACACATGTGAGAGTACAAGTATAAGCTATGATCACACCACTGCACTCTAGCCTGAGTGACAGAGAGGGACCCTGTCTACTAAAAAAAGTCCCTGAATACCCAAACCATGGAGTCCTCAAATATCAGATTGCTTGCATAGAGAGGACGAACCAGTTTGGGAACAAAGTCCTGAGCACCCATATACACTTATAAAAATTTCAATCCTGAACCTTGATACAACTGTAAAAAACTACCATGATCAACTCCACTTACCTTTGCTGTTTTACAATAGAGTCAAAACCAACCGTTTCCACAGGTTTATTTCCAATGGTAACAACCTGCTCTTTTCCATCGTCCTCTGGTCCATCCTCTAACATGTAGCGGTTCTTAACTGCAGTAAGAAAGTCTGTTCCAAAATTCACCTTGTTAGGGCGGATAAAAGACCCTCCTGTTGGGTGCCTGGAAAAGGAGAGAAACGGGACATAGAAAACACCATCCACTAATGAAGGCCTTAAGTGCAATGTTCTGAAGGTTTTTAAAATTTCCATATGCTGAAAACCAAATCAGCAAAAAAGAGAATATGATATACTAACAAAAGTAGATAATCAATATGGCTGGCCAGAAAGGGTTATAAGCATCTGCAAGCAAATAAAATCCCTATAAGAAGACAAAAATATGGAACAGATCCTTCACATTAGAGAAAACAGAAGTATTAAATCCATGGCAGAAAGTTTATCTTGCTAATGATTAAGAAATACACATTCAAATAATAAAACTATTTTCAACAAAATTTGCAAAAATATATAAAAAAATAATAAGACTCAAAGACTGCAAAGTCGGGTTTGTCTAAGATTGTATAATCATACTCTTAGAAACTTCAGAAGGCAGAGGGCAATAATTTTAAAATAAAAACAAAATTGCATTTACAAAGATTTTATATAACATTTATTTGAAATTGAGGAACTCTGGATACCATAAAAATGTACAGCTAGAGAGCAACTATCAAGTAAATCAGATACACGTAGTCATTTAAAAAATTCTATCTGTGATACTTTTATTTATTTATTTATTTATTTTATTTCTTTGAGTTGGAGTCTCACTCTGTCACCCAGACTGGAGTGCAGTGGCCGTTCCCGGCCACCGCAGTCTCGACCTGCTGGGCTCCAGCGATCCTTCCGCCTCAACCTTCCGAGTAGCCGGAATTACAGGTGCGCGCTACCAAGCCCAGCTGATTTTTTGATTTATTGTAGAGATGAGGTCTCACCAAGTTTCCCAGGCGGGTCTCGAACCCGCGGGCTCAAGCAATTCACTCACCTCAGCCTCCCAAAGTGCAGGATTACAGGTTGAGCCACTGAGCCCGGTTATTTATTTTATTTTTTTGAGTCAGAGTCTCACTCTGTCACCCAGGATGGAGTGCGGTGGTACGGTCACAGACATCGCAGCTTCGACCTGCTGGGCTAAGGTGATCCATCCACCTCAGCCTTCCAAGTAGCTGCAACTACAGGCATGTGCCCACCATACTTGGCTAATTTTTTTATTTGCTGTAGAGACAAAATCTCATCATGTTTGCTCAGGCCAGTCTCAAACCCTGAGCTCAAGCAATCCTCTTGCCTTGGCTTCCCAAAGTGCTGGAATTATAGGTGTAAGCCATTGCACCCGGTTTCTATCTGTAATACTTTTTAAAATTACTTGCAAAATAATGTTCAGTGTTTTGGGTTTTTTTTTTTAAGTTGGGGTCTCATTCTGTTGCACAGGCTGGAGTGCAGTGGCACAATCATGGCTCACCTCAGCCTCGACATCCTGGCCTCAGCAATCCTTGTGTCTCAGTTTCCCAAGTACGAGAACTACAAGCAAAAGCCACCACACCCAACTAATTTTTTTCTTTTTTGTAAAGGCAATGTCTCACTGTGTTGCCCAGGCTGGTCATAAACTCCTGGGCTCAACCAATTCTCCCATCTCAGTCTTTCAAAGTGCTAGGATTACAGGTGTGAGCCACTGTGCCCAGCCTGTGCTCTTTTTTTAAAATTTCAACGCTCACACCACATGACTCACACCTGTAATTCCAGCACTTTGGGAGGCCAAGAGGATTGTTTGAGCCCAGGAGTTTGAGACCAGCCTGGGCAACATAGCAAAACCTCATCACTACAAAATATCAAAAAATTAGCCAGGTATCATGGTTCACACCTGTAGTCCCAGCTACTAGGAAGAATGAAACGCAAGGATCACCTGAGTTCAGGAGGTTGCGGCTGCAATGAGCCATAAGCGCACCACTGCACTCCAGCCTGAGCAATAGAGTGAGACTCCCAAGTGAAAAAGAAAAAGAGCTGGCTGCTGCTGCGAAACCGAAAAGCCTCCACCGGAAGACCGGTCGCTGTCCTGGCCCCTCCTTCCCTCTCCCGCCCCTCGGGAGACCGCCAGGCACCATGCGGCGAACATGATAGCTCTTGAAGTCTGCGATAAAAAATGGCCTCCAATAAAACTACATTGCAAAAGATGGGAAGGAAACAGAATGGAAAGAGTAAAAAGGTTGAAGAGGCAGAGCCTGAAGAGTTTGTGTGGAAAAAGTACTGCATCGACGTGTAGCGAATGGGAAAGTGGAATATTTCCTGAAGTGGAAGGGATTTACAGACGCTGACAATACTTGGGAGCCTGAAGAAAATTTAGATTGTCCAGAGTTAATTGAAGATTTCTTAACTCTCAAAAAGCTGGTAAAGAAAAAGATGGTACAAAAAGAAAGTCTTTATCTGACAGTGAATCTGATGACAGCAAATCAAAGAACAAAAGAGATGCTGCTGACAAACCGAGGGGCTTTGCAAGAGGTCTAGATCCTGAAAGAATAATCGGTGCCACAGACAGCAGTGGAGAACTGATGTTTCTCATGAAATGGAAAGATTCAGATGAGGCAGACCTGGTGCTGGCAAAAGAGGCAAATATGAAATGTCCTCAGATTGTAATTGCTTTCTACGAGGAGACACTAACTTGGCATTCTTGTCCAGAAGATGAAGCTCAATAATTGTTTAGAAAATCTGGGTCTTGGTTTTCGATATCCTAGTATGACGAAATAACTGCATTCTAATGAAAATTAAGTTTGATACGTTGGTTTTGAAAGTAGTTTTGGGAGACTTGTTGGGGGGGTTGCATAAGTAGCACTGGTTACTTTGAACAAATAAAAACTTTCTGTAGTTGCTTCCTTTATCAGAAAATAACATTGATACCATGGTATATTATTTCCTCTGCATTAGAGAACAGCTTTTCTAAATGTTGGGAGAAATTTCCATAGTCATTACTCAATCAGAACTTGTGTTCTCATATGCCTAAGGACCATTATGGATTTTTTGTTTTGTGTGTGTGTGTATACATAAAATACATATGCAGATGGTTTTCCTTTTCGTTGTTGTTTTTAAATATTAACCAAACAAAAATTTGGGGTACGCCCTTGTTTCTGAAATGCTGTCATTCTGAATAGCCTAAGAAATCACTTAAACTGAAAATTTTTTTGAAGCCAAACATTTCAAGTTAAATAGATGATTCTGGGATTAATAGAATAGTTTAAATTGGATGATTTTAACAGCTGCCAAATTAGAATTAATATGTATAAGTGTAGTGGTTTGTTTGCAAAATGACTAAAAGGGAAAAATTTTATCACTACTAACAATTTCACCATTCAGATAAGGAAACTAGAAAAATCTTGGTATGTTTTAATTAGCTAAATAAGACTTAGTTAAATGGACATTTAACAGTTCCTCTAGCGAGCCATTCCTTAACAAAAAGTTGAAATCTGTGTGCTATATTGACTGAAAGGTTGTGATTCGTGGGATGTCTAAGACTTGGCTCATGGAAGCCTAGTCAGACATTTAGAAATATTGGCGGTTTAGGGCCTGCTGTCATAAATGGGTGAACAAACTTGTAATCTAGACTAATTGACATGCATGTTTTTTCTTTACCCCAACTCATTCCTTACATGTAGACTCAAGTCCTTTCAGTATTGGCTTTACTGGTTCAGCAGCAGGCAGGAAAACAACATTGTAGTAATCAGAATGTTATCCAACTGTATATTGTTTACTTTATTGTAAATACTGGTGAACAGTGGTCAATAAATAGTTTTATATTCCTTTAAAAAAGAAAAAAAGCTGAACACAAATTATGCATGATACAGGAGAGAGGAATCATATCTACATAAGGACAAAGATTAGATAAGGACATAAATAAATAAAACCATTTCTGGGTGACAGGATTATGTAAAAAAAAAATTTTTTTTTTTTAAGAGACAGGGTCTCACTCTGTTGCCCAGGCTGGAGTACAGTGGTGTGATAATAGTTCATTCAGCCTCAAACTCCTGAGCTCAAATGATCCTCCTGCCTCATCCTCCTAAGTAGCTAGGGCTACAGGCACCCACGACCACACTTGGCTCAAAATTTTTAAAATGACCACATATGTAAAAATATTTTAAGAGCTTAAATATCACTGGGCTTGGTGGCTCAGCCTGTAATCCCGAGCTTTGGGAGGCTGAGGTGAGTGGACTGCCTGAGTCCACAGATTTGAGACCCGCCTGGCCAACTTGGCGAGACCTCATCTCTACAATAAACCAAAAATTAGCCGGGCATGGTAGCACACGCCTGTAGTTCCAGCTACTTGGAAGGCTGAGGTGGAAGGATCGCCGGAGCCCACCAGGTCAAGGCTGCAGTGGCCAGGAGTGTGCCACTGCACTCCAGTCTGGGTGACAGAGTGAGACTCCAACTCAAAAAAAAAAAAAAAAAAAAAAAAAAGAGCTTGAATATCATCTGGGAACAGTGACTCATGCCTATAATTCCAGTACTTTGGGAGGTTGAAGCAAGAGAATCACTTGAGACCAGTACTGTGAGACTTCACTTCTACAAAAAAAATTTTAAGTGTCAGCTTGGTATAGTGGCATGCCTGTAGTCCTAGCTACTAAGGAGGCTGAAGTGGGAGAATTACTTAAACCCAGGAGGTCACGGCTAAATCCCACCACTATACTCCAGCCTGTGCAACAGAGGGAAACCCTGTCTCAAAAAAAAAAAAAAAAAAAAGGCTTAAGTACAGGAGTAGACATGTGAGAAGAATTCTGCAGGAATATATTTTACCACAACTGAAATTCAGTTTTCTTTGTTTGTTTGTTTTTTGAGTTGGAGTCTCACTCTGTCGCCCAGACTGGAGTGTAGTGGCCGCTCC